TTTTCGAAAATCGAAGAAGCATGCACATCCGGCTTACATCAGCTTAGTTTACTTGGAAAAAGCTTGGAAAAGCAGTAAGGGCGACAAGTATATTAACGTAGAAAATATAACAACGAGGAGGTTATCATTTGTAGATCACTTTGTTTTGCTGGCATCTCCCAAAACCGATCTCCATCATTATCTGGAAGGGTTCGCAGCCGAGTTCGACGTGACCGGCCTGTGCGCGAACGTGTAAAAAAAACGAAACCCTAGTGCTTCCTTATGATTCCATCTAGTTCTGCAGATCAATAAAGAAGGAATTAAACAGTCGAAGAAATTCATCCACAACAGGGCCTGTTTAATGGTGAATGGATAATGGGATGAAGTAATCGATTGGGGAATCAGGATTGCCAGTTGCGTTCTACTTGAACTTTTGGAATCCCTGTGGTTAATACAAAGCTGAGTCTGGAAAAGAATGTAGTTTTGTTCAGCTCGGTTTTAATATCCATCTGATCTATAGCTATTAGTCAAGAACCATCACTGTAAAACTCCGACTCTGTGCATAAGCGCCTGAAATATGATTTGCTTTTGGCTGGTTTACGCCTGGTTTTTGATGGTTTAGTGTCAAGATATCCGAAACAGCTTTGATGTACAACCACTGGTTCTCCAGAGAGAAGAGGCAGCAGCGATGGCTTTCAGATCATAACTAGTTGTCTGTTTTCCGTGTTTTAGGCAGAAGTACAGTAGGCTGAATTCCTCCTTCACATAAATTTACCGTGAATAATAAAATTTTATGTCACCTTACATCCCGAATCCTGCGCTCTTAGATGAGAATGTAATTTGGATCTCCAGTAATGCCAGAATAATTGACAATCCATTAACATTTTTTTTTCATTAATTCGGTTCCTGGAGTGAAACTCTGAAATACTGAAAAGTTAGACCTATTTAGCGGTGCGCTGCTGTGTTCTGGTTTTAAAACCATTTCAGCTGCTCTAATAAAAATACATGCAAATCGTTTAATATGTACGGTATTCAGGGCCTGTTTCAATTTTTCAATTGTGAGACGGTGTTTATATTTTCTAAAATTTTTTCTGTTGTTTATGCTAGGTGCGTCAGTAATAGTCCTTTGAAATACTCCTTTGATATCTAGTATGCTAGCTACACAAATTTCTATAATTAGGGTTGCTTTGATATGTGGAGTTTTGTGCATTTTCGTTTAGCTTTATTGTTAATTGGCATATGTGGTATAAAAACGAAAATATCGAAATAATGCATAGTTCCGATCGGTTGGTTCGAGCTGGCAGTACCTATACATATCAGTTCTTTTTAATAAATGAAAAGTTTCTTTAGAAAGATCGGTGTTTCTAGTTAGTACGTTTATGCATTCCTCACGTAGTTGGTAATATTGCTGAATGAGTTCAAAGTAAGGTTCAAGCGAAACCTCGCTTGTTTTTTCTGAAGAAGTTTATGCTTCATCTTGTTGCGTTATTATATGGTGCTTGTAAAGGAAAGCTTTCGTGGGATTGGTCGCTGTTTGAGCACTGAAACGTTCGGGAGAACAATGGGTTTTACAGACGTTACGGTATCGACTGAGGGAATGGTGTTTAAGAAAGTTATTCTACTGCTGTTGCTGCTATCTCGCGCTGGTAGTGTGTTGAAATCGAAAGTTACAATTTAAGCACAACAAGACGCAACGATAATGCTACTGATGTGTGGTAGCGAAACGAGTTCGCAATTTTTGCCCTCTGCTTTGTGTGGTGCAACCAATCACGATGCAGCGATACGACTGCACTTTTTCTTTAGGCACAGAAGTGAATTTTTTTAATTTGGGATTTTGGTTAGGGATTCGACAAGCCCTATACATTATTAAACCGCATATAAGATTTGTTATGTACAAGTTTTCCACCGTTTCGGATAATGCTAGATTCGTATTCACGGGGCGACATGATGGACACAATGTTACAGCATACCTTTATGCATTTAGGTACAAACTTCACTCTGGAAAATTTTACCTCGACATTTCTTCGTTCCTGGGAGAACTTCCGTTTTACACCGAGTCTTTAGTCATGCATTAGTTTATTTGTATTAACTAACTACCCGGTTTAGAAAGTTTCGCTGAAGGGAATATCTTGTACATAATAAATTTTTTATACGATGTAATCCACTAAATGATTTGTCGAATTTTGTACAGAAGTTGTTTGTTTAGAGATTTTCTTGTTTGTCCTCTCAACGCTTGAAGTTTCGTGGTTAAAGTTTTTCGACAGCTCCCATTTTCAGTTTCAGCTTTCATCGGCTTTTGTGCCTGCTGCTTCAGTATAAACCTGTCTGATCGTCGTATTTTATAATGATTTTGAGCTCTATGCTCTTTACGAACGGCTCCGGTTTTTCATGATCGATGTTCAGGGTATTCCTTGACCCACCGGGTAGTTTGTTATGCCACATTTTTACATCATTACTCTCTTAATTAACGGAGTTCCTGTGCTACGTGCGATCATTCTGTGAATTTGTACGGATAGTTAGATTGAAAGATGGATGGATCGGTAGATCAACAACTTATTGAAAGAATCTATTAAAGAAGTAAAGGAGGAAGGAAGGAAGAATGAATTAAAAATGAATGCCGGTTAAATGGAAGTAGAGAAAGAGCAATTGTAGCAGTTGAAATGTCGGTCTTACGTTTGCATAAAGCTATTTCGGGTGTCCTTTTTTTTCATAAGTTAACGAAAGGACGCGGATCTTCATTTCCGTGCCGTCAGGCAGAATTATTTTAGTTTTGAAAGGAAGAGTTGACATCAGATATGTGGCAAATAATATCTAGTGTGCTGTTTTTTTCCCACAAACTAGTACTCATCATTATCAAAGAAAGAAAGGCGAGTTGTTCTGACCAGTAATTGAACCCGTAACCTCTTAGTTCTGAGGTAAGTCTCATTTTGCGACATTATTAAACCGACGGTCCAGCCTTTGGTTCGCTGTTGAATTGCATTTCGCCTTTCGTCGTTATGGTTGTTTAAAACATACTTAACTTGGAGGCGAGGTGATTTATGCACTCGCATGTGTACCTTACCATCATTCCGTCGCCAAGACATTGATCGATCTAAAGTATGCATGAGCAGCATCTGCCAACGTAGCCTCCTTCCTGTTGCTTGGCCATTACTCGCCGTCTAACTTTATGCCATCTTTCACTGTCTGTCAGGGCAAGAGATTTGACCGGATTTGATTGAAGGACATTGTTTCAGGAGATGAGGGATAATTCTTCCTCGGGATTTGCCTGATCGTCAACTCCAAGAACTGACGGAGTGAAACGGCTAATATTTTTTTGACAGAAAGACCGTAGATATCGATAGAAATTAAATGTATTCTATTTCGTACACGGCGATGAAGGAAATCGCACTTGTAACGATCGATTCTTTGTGGTTCTCATTCCAGAAATAGACAGCGCGAGCTTTGTCAGTAATTTTACACCGGTTGTGAACAATCCGATATTTTTTGTGCATATTCACAAAGGAACTAGCGAACGTATTCTATAAGGCAGTGCCACTTAGTACTCAGCAAAGTTACTTTATTAAAGGCTGATCCATTCGTGAAAACGTGTTGCGGCTGGGATTGCTCCAAGGCATCTGATTCTTTCAACGGACTGGTGTTTACTGTGACAATTAAAGAGAGCAATTGATATCAGTTTATGAATGTATTCAAAGTATAGTAGCTTTCGGAGTCTGGTGTCTGAATGATATTCTAATTCCATCTCCGAAAGCACCAAAGATGAGAAATAGAATCGCGGGGGCACAGTGGCAAAGAGGTCAGTGGTGCTGGGTTAGATTCCTGCGAAGGGGCGAGTTTTAGTCTTAGCCGCTAATCTCCATCAGCTACGAATTTTCCTATCACTGCTTCAGTGCAACCAGCCGAGCATCGTGCAGCAAGATTCTGACTTGCGAATAATGGGGAAAGCATGGTGTTTTGGTATGGTCATGACAGAATGGACTACTTGTATAACCATATCGTCCGACGCAAGCTCTTCTTGTGGCCGCGCTTCGCCGTAAACCATCTGATTGTTGACTATCAAGTTCGATAATCAACATAAGGTGTAATTCAGGTAAAAATAATAAATCCTTTGTTTAACAGATCGGTTGTTTAGAATAAAATTTTTATTACAATAAATTATTTTCATAGTCTTAGTTGTTTTTGCAAGAAGAAAAGACTATCGCTGGATCAAATGGGCATTAGACTCAGTTCCAAGAAAGAGTAAACAGCCCATAGGACGACTGCTAGTTCGATAGTAAGCTAAAGACGTTCACTGGATCAGGATGGACGAAAATGGCAAAAAAAGGAAGTACAAAGTTTTGGAGGGGTCCTCATTCGGCAGTAGATAGAAGAAGCTCTACTGACGATGATTTTCATTGTCATGTGGCTGTTTTCATCAGTCGGTTTGGATTCTGTTTGTTGTTCTTCACAGTAAGTGGGGAGGATTCGATGATTATAAATATGAATAAACAAACCGATGTTTAATTTTTTTATTTTACTGCCCACGTTTAAGCTAATCAGCACGCATGATCATTCTAACGGCAGATAGTTTTGTTGAGAGCGGTAAAGTAAAGAATTTTTCACTAGTCTTTTACCCTTATCTTCTCGTATCTGATCATTATCATCATGAGATTTTATCGATCCACTACTGGAAAAAAGTCTTCGAATAAAGATTTCGCCGTGAAATCGTTTCTTCGGCGATTCTTATCCATCATGCCTCTTTTTCATTCGTCTAGCTATGCATTTGAGATGTTTACACGGCCGCTAGCTCCATTTTTCTTTTTTAAACGCAGTCTAATGTTTTTTTTTATTCAGTTACAGTGTTTTTCTTGGAAAGTGCCCTTCAGATTGTCATTTCAATTTCCTTGCTCTTGTCATGACATCGCAGACTCTTGTTTTACTGTTATCTATTCGTCCGTCATCTTAGTTCTTCTTGTTATTTCCAACATGTGCCTTTACGACATCGTGTCTAACCATTGAATCCATGCCACGTGTTTGTAGGTGACTGTTTTGATTCCTTTGCGTCAGCCAACCTTTTATTAGTCTTTGTAAATTTTTTGGGCTTTATAAGGAATCCATTTCTGAGAATATAGACGTGCTTAATTAGCCACTGGTTAAACCCGTAGCGCTTTCTGTGTCTGATTGCCTCGCTTCGACCCTATGCCTGTCGTCATCAGCTGCCCTTCACAGCACTAATTCCAAAGCTGTTCGATGTATTTTTCAATAACAAGCGTCAGCTGATGCTCTTGGATGCCACGTATCTTGTGTCTGACATGACCAATGTATTAATTAGCAATCCAGTTTAATCCACTCATATAGATTGACTTTGTCGCAGTGTGGTACTGTATTAGATTTTGACTGATCGATGACATGTGACTTCATCGTCATTTATTCGAAAGTAATCTCTAAGAATATATCTTTTTTCTGCAATCCATTTCATTTGCAGTGTAACTGCTAAATATTTGCCTCCAGATATTGATTTTGCATTATCACATTCAGATTCATACGTCTAAATAAATAAGAGCCTGCGGTGATCTTCGATCTGATGACTGCTGGATGATCACAAGCGTGATTTACTTTGGATGTTAAGGTGATAGTGGAGTAGTCTTCTTACTCCATGAGGGAATTCTGAATATGAGGAGTCGTCTGCAAAACTGAAGAGGGTTTTGGTTCTTAAAATGATTTCGTTGTACCTTTTCACCCTCTGCGATTCAGTAACTTTAGATCACGTTGTCGAAGGACATTTGAATTAAAAATTGCGCGTGGTTTGTGACGTTTTCTGTCCACCGTCTGTAATCCACGGACTTTCCATAACAGTTGGTGGCGTGTCTCTTGTGGGTTTGTTGATATTATTACCTTGAGTCATTAGTATATGAAGAATGTCTTTGGTTTGTGATATCCGCTGTATTCGCAGTTTTTCAACGCTTGCTATAAGACACCGGATACCGTTCCTCAGGAACAGATCTGCTTCTTCTTTGATCCTCCATGTTGCACTCTGGCCTCCTGGACAACATGTGCGATATTTAAGCTTTCGCACAAAAAACTCTCAGACGGGGTGGATGGCTTATGCTCAATCATTCTATTTAATGGCGTCATCTTCCTTTTTGTAACCTCCACATCTATCAAGATTATCTCTCCACAGAAAACAATAGTCATTCCTTACGTGATCATGCCATTTAACACTCATTATGCTCGAAACCAGTGGGGCTGTACGCAGTTCACCCGTTGTTATCGCTCCCTTGTTGAAATAACTGTTTTTATGCTGTGCAACAACACACACCTTCAGTTAACTACTGAATTAATTGAGTGTTGATATTACCCTTATTCCCTCCCACTAAAATATGCATCGTTGACGGATGAGCTGCAAAGCTGTCATTTATCTTGATTTGCTCCTGCTAGAGTTTGGCAATTATGTTTTGCTGATCGGTGTGCAGTGCCTCATATCTTACATACACGTTTACCATGTCGATAGAAATGATACCAGTCAATTATTTGAAATGTTATATTGTTTTCACTGAATCCAGTGCAAGGAAGCTTTACCACCTATGCAGAGACTGTACTTGATGTTTCTGCATGTCTGTGTAGGAATGCTTAAAGGCATAGGATTTAGTTCGAATTGACAGTGAGATTGATTCTCAGTATTAGTGTTGATGCCCTCCTTGCGATAAGCACATTTGTCTAAGGACAAGATGATTGCGGTAGGCATTGCATTGCTGGTCGATCATTGCAGGAGGTTTGGTTGAATCGATTTATGGAAAAGTCAGACAAGGTTGTGCGTAATATATTTATTGTTCACACATTTGTTAGCCTCGGCACGCGAAATTAAAAACTGTTTTTATTTTCCGTACTGTAATCGAATCTCAACATTGCTGATGCTTGAATGAGTATGAAAAAAAACATGAACAGTTATTTATTGAAGCTGAACGAAATACAGTCAGTTTCTGAGACGATGGACCATAACAAATGCTTTAGCCTGAATCTCACTGCCTTCTTCATCGTAAGGGAGTCATAGTTCTGGGCTGTACCTGCAGCTGCAGTTGTCAGTCATCTACGACTAAGACCGTTTCTTCAGCAAGGAACGGGCAGCGCACTGCTTTTGAAAATCTACCACAAATTTTACCATATGTGAGAACAGTGCAGTTCATGGTAAAATTGCTCTCGCCTTTGTGCGCCTATCTGCTTTTCTGTCTTCCCCTGCTGACGTGTTGATCAACCTGCTTTGAGAACGGACAGATATAATTTTGTCTGGCGGTAGGAGTACATGGAGGCTGCTTAGCCATAGCTTAAAGTACTGCTTGGACTTAATCTTACTTTTTTCAGTCGTGACGAAGAAAATGAGGTCGCGGTCAAACTCTGGAGTTCGACTCGACCACTATATGCGGATGGTGTACAGAACCATTTTGAACAACGCGGTAACGATTAGGTTTTTACCTGATTAATAGTGCTGGTGCTCATTTGTTACGTGTACCATTGTTATCCTTCATTCAGGATCCGGTGACTGGTTTGTTCGCGTCTACTCTGTCCGGCTGTACTGACCACGCGTGGGTCCGCGACAACGTCTACGCTCTGCACAGCGTTTGGAGTTTGGCTCTGGCGTACAAGAAACACACGGATTTCGACGAAGACCGCGCTAAGGTGTACGAACTTGAGCAGGTAGACAAAATGTGACGTCATGTTTTTACGTGATTTTTAGCACCTCTAGAAAACGAATCGTTTTTCCGTTACGAATTCTGCATTGCCGTTCATTTAAAAAATTGCCAGAGTATCGTTAGAAGACTGATTGACTGGCTATTTGGCTGGCTGGCTGAATGACTGATTGATTGACTCACTCACTCAGTGGCTGAACAGCCACCAGTCAGTGTTGTATTGATTATATACTTATAGACTCAAACCCGAGATCTATGCTTAAATCAGTTTTATATGACTGTTATCTTATCGGCCAATCAAGATGGACCATCATGAAGGCAAACAGTTCGAACTAATGCAAAACTAACATGCGGACTGTTTTTAAACTGCAATTCTTAACCGTAGATAAAAAAATAAAACCCCGATGTTCTTGGGAACCTTTTGATTCCGCCGATGAAGAAGTCATTAAAAATATTGATACCAGATTGAAACAGCGAAAATGCACAGTGTGAAGAAAGAAAAATCTATTTCTCACATTGCACCAACATCTCAATTGCACCGTCCCCCATGCTTCTCGGCGCCTAGAGGGATCGTTTAAGCAGGCCACGGCTCCATGGTATTTAAGAGCCTGTGGTGCATAGGACGCAAGACCGCGTCATGCACTGGGGTTGAATAAAAGTATATTCAATCTAGATTTCCACGATCCGTTCGAGAACGATGGACAGGATATCTAACCCCGATGTTCTTGGGGACCTTTCGACCGCCGAAGATATATCATTATAAATATTGATCCGTCGTTTACAAACAGGTCGTGGCAGTTTTGGTGGATAAATTAATTAGCCCTCTTATCCATCATTCCCTCTTGCCGTTAAAGTAAATTGCAAAATTATTAAAGTTAATTGCTCATTCCTTGGAAAAATCCGTGAATTTTTGAGGCGGTATTGGTTTAGAGTGTTTTCCTCTCTTTGGCTGACATATCGGTATTGTACAATAAGTTTGATCTTCGTCTTTTCATGCAAACTGAAAATTCTACCTACTCGATGAAATGCAGTGATTCTTATCGTGTTCATATTTTGTATGAAGAAGACCTTCAAGATTTGGAAAACGAATTAGGCGATATTGATCAAGTCATCATGAATCACCCTCCGACACGTTAGCTTTCTTGTTTGATATGGATAGCTTCTCTGAGATGTTGCTTTAGACTTTCTGTCTGTTTTTTGTCAGTTTCGTCCATCTTGATCCGATGAACTTCTTCAGGTCATTTTGCCATGGACATGAAGGTCTTCAAAAGGTCGTTTACTTTCTCCTGGAACCGAGTCTAATTTTTAGCTGATCCAGCGATGGTCGGTTTTTCTTGCAACATGTCCCATCCGTTACTACTTCAACTTCTTCACTCAAGCAATGCACTGTATAGTCTTGTTTGTGCTCTTATTTATTCATTCCTCTTGTCTTTTCTTCTTATTTCCAACAGACACCTATCCATGCGGCATTGTGTAGTATACAATATCATTTGAATGGCTGTCAGGCTTAGGTTCCAAATTTCGCACCCATATGTCAGCATTGGGACACTGGGAATGCGCATTCATAGGATACTTTCCGTTTCAAGCCTAAGGCAGTTTTTTATCTTCTTGGAGTACTCTGTGCTAGGTTTTCTTTTATGTTTATTTTGCATAGTCTGTTCTCCTTTTCAGAGATCAGTTGTCGCAGAGAGACATAATTTTGCACCTCTTCAAGACCAAGTCCGTTAACTTCAACAGGTCGAGCGCTATACGTTAAACATCACTTGAATCTTCTTCAGGTTCATTTTCATTTCTGTTTTGTTACTGGCATTGGATTTTTCTGGTGACCTTGAGAGGATCAAAATATCGTCTGCAAACCATGCCAGCTTAAGTTGTGTCCATTTATGTTCACTCTCTTGTTTTCTCAAAGGAGTGTTTTCAAAAAGTCTTCTAGGGCTTCCAATGTCCTAGAAGAATATAACTTGCGTGCTTCTCAATGTCTGGTGCCATTTCCAATTTTGAACTTGTTTATACTTTCCTCAAGCTTCACACTAACAGTTACATAATCATGCTCATGAGGTCTCCATATGGTTTCTAGGTTCCCCGTCTCCTCAGTTAATTCTTGGTCAAAAGCCTTCTCGAAATCGACAAAACAAATCCCACTCCAAAAATGGATGCTCTGCACTAAGAGGAGCGCATAGGATTTAGAAGGTGATGTCTTCATCTTCATCTTCCATAGCCGCTTCTCCTTTCGGGTCGCGGAGGCAGACGCGTCAGACAGTGCTTC